TTCAGAATTGTTTCATGTCTTAGTCATTTACTGCGATTCCACGGACAAAAGTCATATCTGTCATGTATCGTCACCGGAAGCGAAACTAACTTTTTACCGGCATTTTGTTCCGATAGTAAACAGCGAAAACAGAAAAGGGCAGAAAGTACCGCAATTCAAATCTGTCAATATGAATTTTAATAGAATAATGATGATTTTCACTAGCAAGCTACAATTATTGCAAAGACATATCCGTTAAATGTGACGCACCTAATGCAATATTGACCTAGAATGCTTTCAAACGGAATAATCATTTTGCACAGTGAACCCCATTCCCAAAATTCCAATCTGGTAAGGTATAAGCTTGAGAGATTTCGATGTGAAACACTTTAACATCATCTATACAGCTCTGATCTTTTCTTCGTAACTTCTTCATATTTGGTGACCAGAAAAGCAACATGCTTTCCTGCCCATATTATATAAGTGTTGAAGTGCATATAAAGGTAAGGTTAAGGATCAACAATGACTTGCCAATTTTTGCATGACTGTAATTCGTCACCTCATTTTCCAGTAGGATGAATGTATGTATTAACACTTTTAAGAATTAATTTTAATTTAAATAATGCTTAGTCACTCTGAAGCAAATTTATGGATTCTATTTGACTACCATGATTGAGTGTCAGTCACTAAACTCTGCAACTTTTAGTAAACAGATAAGCTCTAGCAAAAAATTAATTAAAATAAATTTTGATCTTTTCCTTTTTTTGCTTTGAGTATAGCAATATTTATTTTTCAAAGCGAAGATCTTGTAACAAAAAATGTCTAAATATATCATCCAGCTTTTAATTTAGTAAATAATTATAATCTCAGCACAATTATACCTTTTGGATCTGCGGTAGTCCGTAACGCATTAATTACAACCTTTGTCGAGAGCAAAATTTTTAATTTGCGCTTCGCACCTGAGGCAAAACAAAAGCAAGGCATCTTAAGAACGAAAGAAGAAGAAAGAAAAGTAAAGAAAAGAAAGCTTTTTTGAGGGTAAATATCTCCGTAACTAAAACATGAGTATTTTTTCATGGCATATGATCATCATATACTGTAAAGTTATATTAAAATAATCATCAAAACTAGTTTTTAATATTGAGTGTAAATTTACTGTAAGAAAAGAAAATAAGACATTTTGCAGACACAATAATTTATTATTTCAAACACAATATTTTGATACAAAGCTTACACTTACAATAGCGCAACAATATGAATTTGGCAAATAGGGATTCTCCACTCAGGGAACAACAGAAGATTATATTATCGTCTTTGAATAGTTATAGAATTCATTCAATACTTAACGACAGGTACATTTACAACGTTTAGAAATAGCACAATTGTTTTTAGTTATAATAAGTCATCTTATGATTTTATATATCAATATCTTTACTGTGCTTAGATGAGTATATAAGAAATTGAATAGGTACTTGAAAATAGAATATTTGAAATACTCAAATACTCTGAAAACCATTTGTGAGAGGAAATTCAGTATTGTGTGAAATTAGTTACAACTAATTATCTCAAAAATTGTGTTATTACGCTAATGTGAATATTCGCTGAGTTATTTACTGTTACAATAAATCAGGTTGATATTGAATTATATAAAATAGGATAAAAGTTTGCCTTTCCTTTTAATATTTTTTTCAGCGATGGAATAAAAAAAAACTTTTAAAATTTAGAATAATAATAGCTATCTTCGAAATATTTTAAGTCAAATTTAGAGCATTTTCAAAATGCATGTGGATAATACGATAATATTTTCGTATCATAGCATGCATGTATGAAAAAATTCATTTCTTTTGAACAATACTGTTTGTTTCTAGGGTGTATTATATTAAATTTACTTCAAGTTATGCATTACTTTAGTTTTACTAAAAAATAAGTTACACTAAAAAATATTGTAGTTAAGTTACACTAAAAAATATAAAAAACTGGACCGTCCTTAAAAACTCATATGGTTCTTATATCATGGTATCAAGTAAAAAGTTTCACTTTTCCTTAATATACTTTGGATATACAGCTTATTATTCATTAAAAATGTCATTTCTAGTTGTTGCGTACAGGGTAACTTCTATTTTCTCATTTCCCATCACATTAAGTGTAATGAATATTGAAACAATAGTAAAATTGCCGGAATTTAAAATGTTGATATTAATATTCAAGATCATTCATATAATTTTAAATAAGGAGTGAAAGAATAGAAATTTGAAAAAAAAAAATGTTTCTAGAGTAATCTTTAATGTGAACAACTACACTCCAGATAATTCTTTGGAATAACTTACCATAATATCGTAATCTTATAGCATAATCTCGTACAAATTTTCTGTTACATGAAAAGAGTACTAAGGTACTAAATTTATTAGTATTTCCATTTAGATTGGTTACGGCGCGATTGGCATACGGTTTGATTTATTCGATAATATGGTTTGATTTAGCACCGCGTTACAGCCTTTGCAAATTGTAGGAATATTTTGTTTCAGTCTTAACGAAACTCTTAAAATTAAAGTCAGATTTTATTATTAATTTATTATTGTCTGAATATAAGTGGAGTTTTCTATGCGCCGGATGCTTCACTTAAAGTAAAATTTTGAATGTGATAAAAGAATGTTGAAATTTCAATTTTAACATTCATTTATATTAGTTTTAAAAGGGTTACTAAGTGGTAATTGGGTGAACTTTTTTCTCAATTAAACTTAATAAGATTTGAACCAGAAATTTACCAATGGAAATGTCTGAGTTTTTATTTAACTAATGTTTTTGATATCGATAATAAATGCATTTCCCATTCAGTAATAAAAACTTTTAAGAGTGTACATAGTTTAAAGAGACAATTGAATTTTTTATTTTTCATTGGGGCATTCATTGAAAATTATAAAGTGCTCAAAAAGTTCTTTTTATTTCTATAAATCAAGTTAACTATTGTGTTTATCTAAACATTTAATTTGAAGAATAATAAATTAGTATATGAAAAAGAAATAAAAGATTACAAAAAATTTCATGTACTTTTTGTATATAAAAAGTAAATAAATGAAAATAAAACACTTTGTACACATTTAAAAATATTACAGATCAAACTACTGTACGAAGTATATCATCCGTAAATTTAATTTTACCATAAAATGCAATTTCACCGTAAAATTTTAAAATGTATTTTTATAATAGTATATGTTTAATTATGGTGATTCAGTGACTTCGCCGTAAACATTACGGTAAATCAAATTTTTGTTTCGTAATGTTTTATAATAAAAAGTAATTGCACCCTGAGTGCCGGTACTGAGTAACCGTCATTTAATCAGACATTTTTTTTTACAGTGCATGCACATTAGAATATCAATCCACTAAAGTTTATTACACGCAAATAAAAATACGAAACTTAATATTTTATTTTAAAAAATACGAAACTTAATATTTTATTTTAAAAAAATTAAATGTTAGTGATATAATATAAAATTGGAACGCAGAGAACTGAATTTAGGCTATGTATGCAGAAAAACGTGCATTAAAATATGTATGCATTCAAGTGGATACTAAAACTTTTTCAATTTTTCAAGAAATTCAAACTTTTCCTGATTATTTTAAATGAAATCTCCAGTCTTTCTAGTTCAGAAACTACTGAATATAATTTAAAAATTTTTTTGTCTATTAAATTATTTATTTATTGAAATTGAGAAAAATCTCATGTTTGAAATAGAAATTCATATGTCTATAACAATGGAATTCGAAACTCGCTTTATATAAAATTTTGAAAAAAATGAGTTTCTTTAAGTGAGTTTACAAGGAATTGGGAAAAAAATAATTTTGTCACCTCGTGTTAATAAGGTATGATAAAAAATACATTTAAAAATTTAAAAAGACTATGACGTAGTCCAAAAATTAAACTTCGAATCAAATAAGCAATCAGAATTATTTAAATGCTATATTAAATTAATTGTGAAGGCAGTTATATAAAAATTTCTGATTGACGACATAATAAATGAAAGTTATAATGGTGGTAGAAATAAATGTAATAAAATGTTCCTTTAAATTTTAAAACTTTCAAATATTTCAATTCTCATGTAATTTTAAGAATATTATTAATTTGTAACATTTGTATAATTAAAAAATGAAAATCCAACAACATTTTTTGTTAAAATCTGAATCATTTTAAATGATACACCGTTGATTCAAGGCCATGACAACAAAACAAAGATTAAAGAAACACAACACACTTGTCACCACATGTCCATTCAACAAATAACAGTCTGTCCTGAGCAAATAAGCAACCGATATGAATTATTTCTCAGCTTGGTATGAACAGTCCTTTTAATATAAAGCTTAAAGAATATGATATCTTGAAATATTATGAAAAATAAGAAATATATATATTCTTATACTACTCACTTTTTGTTATTACTAATTCTTCATCAATGTATAGTGATATTAGGGAATATTTAGATTAGAATTACCCAAATACTTTCAGAATACTGTTGGGTATAAACTTTCTCAAAACAAATACTGATGAAACTTCTCTTATCCCCAGTATCTCTATAAAATGACGTAGAGAAAATTAAAAAAAACTTCAAACTTTGTTGCACGCATTTGTGTGCTTAATATTTATGAATTGAATCTGGAAAAGTTTTTTTTTTATCGAAAATCATCACGAGATGTTTACCTGTGCCTCGGAATTCGGAAAAAAATACTTACTCCCAACACTCAGATAAGCAATTTTTAAATATAAAAGAACGTGCATCTATATTCCGTAACAAAAATTAAAATATTTATACTTTAAAATTATTCACACTATTTTCACTTGTAGAGTTTTGTGATATTTTTAACGTCAAAGTCCAGCCATTAATAAGGAAAGCTCCTGTTGTAAAAACTCTGATGACTCATACAAGAGATCTTTTTATAGGATACACTGATATGCAGATATTAAACATCTATAACCCAGTAAGATATCCATGGTATTTTTCCAGGCTCTCTGTAGGATAACCTTTTCATGGTTCTTCCGTCTCATATGGTTCATACTCCATGTTTTCTAAAAATAAAAAAATGATTATTTGTTATCTGTTTTTATGTACACTGTAAAATATGGATACTCAAATGTTATGAAACTTTCTTCGTTTTTGACGAAACAGCTTCCTCGTATATGCTCCGAGTGAACGTTTTGTTAAAGTGACGAAATAAGAAACGAATCTCAACGAAGAACGACGCAATATTCTTCGAAGAAACAAATTTTGTCAAAATTAATCTTTCGTCATTAGATTTTCTATCAAAAAAAAAAAAAATTCCTAGTGCCTGAAGTATATAACTTTTCTAATAATCACTGTATTGTGAGCTTCATATAAATGGATCAATGTCTCCCTAACTACACAAGAAGAACACGTAGACCAATGAGATAAATTATATCCATGCCCGAAACAAGTTTCAATCCCAAGTTATTTTTGGTACGTGGCCTTCTCCTTGACCACCATACAAGCAGTCAGTTTCTTTAGTCACTTTGTTTTCGATCGTCTAGTCTTCATTCCACATTCATCATTCTAGTTAACAATCCTCCACAATGCACTCCAATGAGATTTCAATTTTTAGAAACTGTTTTCGCACTATGCTTGATGGTTCGCATTTTGTCTTAAATGACCTGATTTCGTGAGGAAATTATTTTCAAAATTTACGAAATATAGCTCAAGAATTGTTGAATCTTCAAAAGAGAGAGTTTCATTTCTGAGAGTGCAAGACAAATTATGCTGGTGTTTGATTATTGCTTAATTCTTATAATGCCATGGGAAGCATTTTTCCTTTCAACTTCATTAATTGTTATATGTTAATGAGACGCCATTTTCGAAACAATGATTTACGCAACCTTCTGCTGATGTAGTTTCAGAAAAAAATAATAATCGAAAATAAAATAGCAATTAGGGAATTCGTTTGCATAAATGTAGATAGCAGTTAAGGCCATCTTTGGAACAAGAGAAAAGGCTTACGTTGAGGCGCTATTTGTTCTAGTGTAGTTTGCATTAATTCATTTGATTTTTAACAAAGAAGTTTAAATTTGTTGTCAATTCTTTACAATAGAATATTGTCAATTATCCTAACTTTTTGAAATTCCTAGCAGCTAAGATAAATTATGTAGTTGTTTCATTATTGCTTAACTCTTTATAAGGCCGTGGGAAGTATTTTTTCGACCAACTTCATTAATATTTACCTGTTGATGAAAATCTATTCTCCAAACTATGATTTGCAAAGTCATCTGCTGAGATAGCTGTTGAAAATAATCATAATAAAAATATCAATGAAGGAATTTATTTGCATAAATGCAGATAGTAGTTAAGGTTATTGTTAAAACATGAAGAGAGACTTAGGCTGAGGAGCTACTTGCTCTTGTGCACTTCACGTTAGTGCATTTGATCTTTTTCCACCGAGTTTATTTGTAGCACAGAAATTTTGATTTATGGCTAATTCTTTACAATAGAATATAGTGAATTCCTTAAACTTTGAAATTCCCAGCCACTGAGATAAATTATTTCTGCGTTTGATTATTGCTTAACCCTTTATGAAACCGGGGGATGTATTTTTTCGACCAATTTCATTAATGATTACTTGTCGGTGAAAAACTACTTTCCGACCTATGATTTGCGTAGTCATCTTCTGATGTAGTTTCAGAAAAAAATTATAACCATTATTAAAATACCATTAAAGGGATTTGGTTACTCAAATGTTGGTAACAATTAATGCTATTATGAGGTTAAGAATAAATCTAGCTCTGAGGAGCTATTCTTTCTGGAGCGTTATGCGTCCATTCATTTGATCATTTCTCTTTGAGTTTATTTGTAGCACAGAAGTTTAAAGCTGATTATAAATTCTTCACAATTGACTTTGGTCAATATTTTATATTTTGAAATTCCAAGCTACTGTCTCACCAAAAATTGTCTTTTTGATAAGAAGTAAACTGAATCCCTGTTTTAATTAAAAATCATAATCACCCTCCCCCCCAAAAAATTAACTTAACAATACTAGAAAAAATTGCCCTATATAGGGTTAATATGCTCAAAAAAAAATCTTGACAAAATCCAAAACATGCAATCATTTTTTTTTTGTACATTTCCAAATGTTATGGAATAATTTACAGTGCCTAAGCTGTGAAGATAAAAGACTGATATCATTTTAGATAATTACCAATTATGATATATAATTACATATAAATTTGGTCGATAGGGTGAATATTATAGTAAATTTATTGCCTGTTCTGTGATATTTGCTATTTTTTTAAAGTACAAAATATAAATCTGGTGGATACTTATTTTAAAATAATAAATGTTATGATAGCAAAGCAAGTCATGAAATGATGAGGAAAAAAGCTTCATACTTCCATAGTAAAATACTTTATAAGAATTCTGAAAAATTTGCTAGCTAAACCAAATCGCAAATTTTAACTCTACAATGAAAGAAACTCTAAGCCAATAACAATGGAACTATACTCTTTGTAAATGTAATATTGATTTCTCCCCGAGCCTGTATATTTCCTATTCCTATTGAAACGTACTGCGGTGTGAAAAAAGTAAGATTTTTGGTATCTATGGTAAATGGGAGGGGAAAAGTGTAGAGATTGGAAAATCGCATCACTATGGACTCATATTCCATTTACTAACAGTATATTAGAGTGTCAGAAACATTTTTAAAGTATCGATAGCAGATCTTTCACCATGAAATGACTCTAAGTGGTTGCAATGCAGAACAAAAGCAAAAAGAGGCCGAATGAAATTTATTCGAAAGCATAAATATTTAAACGAGACTAGGATCTTTTTACTAGCAGCACTAAAATGGAGAGACTTTCTAGTCAGGGATGACGTATTATTTGTGTAACTTAACGCGCCTATTTGGACTAAAAATAGCAATTCAATAATAAAATCACGTTTCTTTTTTTTGAAAAAAAAGATCAGAAACATATTAAAAGCAGGATTTCAAAATTTATCACTGCAAATAAAATATTTTATTCAAGTATCCAGATTTTACTTATTTATTTTACAAACAGCAGTTTTGTTTAATTATAACAGATTTCTGGAATGTTGAAAAATATATTTTCTTTCATATATTACTGTTAACATCTTTATACAAAATTATTTTATGTTTACCGAACATAGAATCTGTATTCATACATAATTTTTTATAGAATTTATAGAATTCATAAAAGTGAAATTATTTTTGTCTAACTTCTTCCTCAAACACATTACCTTCCTTAGTAAATAAAAAAAAACACAAAATCCCTTTCCCCACAAAAAATATAGGAAATGTTTCAGCGCACTGATATACAAGAAATCATTTCAGTGATTTAAAAATATCTATTTGATATTTTTTTTCCTTTAAAAACAGTTTTCACCTGAAAATGTTGAATCTACCATTCAAAATAAAAATGGACTCCCAAAGCATTATGATAACAAGGTTTACATTGAGATCCTTAGAATTTTATAAGCATTGGACCAGTGAGGCAGCCTGTCTCATTATTCAAATCAAATTGCTGAATTCACAATCATATGAAAGCTAAAAAAGGAAAACAAAAAGAAAAATGATGAAAAGAAAAGAGAAAAAAAAATTGCTCTCGATATGAAAAACAGTGTTAGACTTTTTCTAGCGAAGAACGTAACAGCTGGCAAGAATTGATTGACACGTATCGTTTTCTGCATGTACTTAATGCTACTGGATATTGGAATACATGTATTTTGATATTTTATTTATTCTATATCTAGATTCTTTTTTTATTCATTTATTAGGCATTTCCTTTTTATGATGATAGAACCTAGCTAGTGCCTTACTTGCAGTTTTTTTTCCTCTCTATCTAACTTCATTTTTTCTTTGCCGAATTTTTATGGAGCAAAGCGTGAGTTGTCTTGTGAAGCGCGTAATTTTCTTCAGACCTTTTTTGGGAGTTGCATATGATCAAAAAATAAAAAAACGAAACTTTTTTGAATCCGAAAACTTTTTCCCTTGCGTAGTTTTACAACTTCGTTTTTTTTTAAAAACATTTATTTAGTTACAAGCGTGACTCAACATCGTCTTTTGAGGAATTAAAGGAAATCATCTATGAAAAAAGTCCGCATTTTTAAAGAGAGTACATTGATTTAGGATAAAAAAAAAAAGAAAAGGCTTCAAGCACATTATTTTTGTCGAAAACTAAGTAAATTATTGAATGCTTTACCGTAAAAATGGTAGAGGCCTTTTATTACTGGTTTTATCGTATGTTGAACTTTAATTTACTAGGTTTTAGTTTAATATATATGTCTTAAAATATAGAAGCCAAAATAAAGTTCTTTAATTCTCAAAAATGTTGTTTTAAAAATGCAACTATTAAACTATAAATAAACTTTGAAGGAATCGCATTTCATCTTATTTACAAGTCAATTAATTAACCCCTTAACGATAGGTTAAATTTCAAGAAAATGATCATAAAAGTGCCTATTTTTTTATTTTTGTATTTGTATTACACATTTGATTAGTGCTGCAACTAGTTTAAAATAAACTAACTATCTACAGTTACCTTAAAAATATCCTGTTACTGCCATCAGGTGTGCAAAATGAGAAATAAAATTTTTTCCGGGCAAAAGAAATTAATTAGTCTTATTCTTATTGGCGCGTTACTACTGAACACTCCAGCCCGTCAATATCAGGGGAGCGAGAAATAGCGGGCGAAATCTCACCCCGTCATTTTCACGGGAACGAGAAGGAAGGGGCTAACCTCTTAATTACCACATTTTGATTAACCTGTGTATTTTTAATACACTTTATATTAAGTACTTTTTTATGAACAATATATTAAATCAACGAACTAAAGAAATAAATTTCTATCGTATGCACAGAGCTCAAAAAAATGAGAAAATCGCACTTAACTATTCATCTAATTTTCAGATTATTACGTAATATGTTGTTTTCTTAATGGTTCGAATGATTAAACCTAAATACTCTGACATTTTTTTGCTGGCGATATTTAAATTAAGAAATCTAACAAAAAAAACATACTTTTTCTGAATAAACACGTCTTTTTATACCTATTTGGATTTTTGATTCTCAAAATAAAGAGGAAAAAACTGAAATTTGAAGCACTTGATCGGCATTAGGTGGCATGTATATTTTAAGCAAGAAATCAGTATGGTAGCAGAATTTAATAAAAGTATTTAAGACTAAACCCTCGAACCAGTTCGAAACATGAATTTCCAATCATTATTCCGAGAAAGATGCTCTTTTTTTTTAATTTGTGCACTGTACGGTAGTCAAATTGTTAATTTAGTAGTTAGCGCAGCAGAAACGGATTTATATACTGTGGTTAATGAATGGAGTGTTCTGTAATGACCACCTTTATTGCAGAATAATTTGACTATCTTTGAGAAGGAATGATATAAAATGTGCCCATTAGGGATCGAAAACTAATATTTAAGAGGGGAAAACAAATACGTTTTAGAACTTTGGCCAGTTACCATTGAGATTGCAAAAGGAGGAGATTAATTTCCTCCCAAATTAGTTTATTTGGAAGATGGAAGTTCCTAATAAAATGTTTATGCATTCCTATATTTTTTGAGGAATCAACTGGTTTTTGTTTTGATTTGTGTTTTACTTTTATTGTATATTATAGTATTTTTATTATTATTACATTACATTGTAGGTAGGTAATTTATTTACGTCGCTCTAGAGCTGAAAATGGGCTATTGGCGACGGTCTGGGAAACATCCCTGAATATGATCCGAAGACATGCCATCGCAATTTTAATCCTCTGCCGAGGGGATGCTACCCTGCTTTGTTAGCCTGACAACTTGCGCGCAAAATCAAGCACTTTACTGTAGAACAGTTTAGCGATAAGACTGATACAGCACTCTCTTTGTCCCTTCACTGGCTGATCAATGTGGTCACCCACCCACTTACTGACCGCATTCAGTGTTGCTTGACTTACTGGGGACCGTATCTTTACGATCAGTCCACTGCGAGACTGTGTTGTATTGTAGTGTATTTGCACTGTATTGTATTGTATTGTATTGCATTGCATTGCATTGCATTGTATTGTATTGTATTGTTTTGTATTGTATTGTATTGTATTGTATTGCATTGCATTGCATTGCATTGCATTGCGTTGCGTTGCGTTGCGTTGCATTGCATCGCATCGCATCGCATCGCATCGCATCGCATCGCATTGCATTGCATTGCATTGCATTGCATTGTATTGTATTGTATTGTATTTTACTTATATTGTATTTTATTACTTAACTATTCAAGAGTTATTAAAAGCCCAGTAGATGGATAAGAACGGATACTCAAACACTTCTCAAAACTCGCGTGGAACTAATTGCAGACAGTTACCATTCTATATAAAGATGAATGCAATAAATATGGAATAAGCTGTTTGTTTGCAACATTGTTATACAAATTCCTATTAAAAAATATTGCTTTTTACTCCACTGATATAGACATCAATTTCTCGAAATCTTGTTTTAGATATGTTCGACACTTAAAAACAAGACTTTCAAATATTATTTTAAATCATACAAGAAATACAGCAAACAGGAAAAACTTATTTATCGTTCTAGCAAGTATACGTAACGCTTCAACGTTGAAATGGTTGTTGAATGAATTTAATTGTTGATATTGTATAATGGATAGATTTTTTTTTCTTTAAGAAAAAAGTAGTTGTTTTCAAACACAGAGTTAAATTTAGTCAATAGCGCAATTTAGTCTTGATTTCTATGAGTGTTTTAAACGGATGTGCTCGCTTTCGGCATTTTTTTCATATCGCATAAATCTCTGATTTTCATTCTCAGTTGATCTTCCCGTTCAGCAAATCACATTTCTGAGAACAGCAATGAGGTAAAATTTATTTTCTGCCAGCTGTAATGCTGAATGATGAGTGCGCAATGCTGAATTGTTGAAATGGTGATTGAATAGTATATTGCATACCTTATTTGTACACCTTGTATAATTTCTTAATTTTGTCTCTTAAAAAAATAATTATTTTCATATAAATAGTATAACTTAGCTAATTGCAAATTTTTGTCTTGTTTTTTGAGGCAGTGTTTTCATAAATATTTTCGTTTTCTTCAACTTTTGCTATCCAACATGGCGCTTTCATCCAATAGCCTCTTATTTTCCTTTGCAGTCAAAGTCAATTTTCATTAAATTAAGTACTCTGAATGCAGAAATGAAAGAAATCTTGTTTTTAAACCCATGTAACACTGAGTCATTTGAGTATGGACTGAAGGTGATCTTTATGATGGATCTGCCTTTTTTTCTTTTAAAGATTAATTATTTTAAGGTAATTTATGTATGAATAAATAATAGATTGATTTCGCTTTCATATGCAACGTAATGTAAGCACTCAATTCCATAAACGTGTTTAATGGAAATGGTTTCGTCATTGTGACTACTATGCAAAAGTTTTATAGGATTATTGTAAGTTTTCGCTTACCAGCCATGTTAGCTTGGGAAAAAGATACTATTTTTCCGTCCACTGATCGGAGCCAATGGTTCTTCACTTCAAAGATTTTGCTAGAGCTGGAGTCGACACTTCGGTCTGGCTCACGACCTAAGAAATAGAAAATAAAATAAAGAATTTATATTTTGAAAATGTTGCTACGCAAACATTTGCAAACAGAAAAAAAATATCAGCAATCCCGAGAAGAAGCATCTGTAATATTTGTATTAAAAAGTTCTATGAAAAAAATATCAGCAATCCCGAGAAGAACCATCTGTAATATTTGTATAAAAAAGTTCTATGAAAAAAATATCAGCAATCCCAAGATGAAGCATCTGTAATATTTGTATTAAAAAGTTCTATGAAAAAAATATCAGCAATCCCGAGAAGAACCATCTGTAATATTTGTATAAAAAAGTTCTATGAAAAAAATATCAGCAATCCCAAGAAGAAGGATCTGTAATATTTGTATTAAAAAGTTCTATGAAAAGAAATCAGCAATCCCGAGAAGAATCATCTGTAATATTTGTATAAAAAAGTTCTATGAAAAAAAAAATCAGCAAAGGGTTTTTAGGGAAAGAATTAATCTGTTTATTTGTGTTTGAAAGTAAAATTAGTTATTTTAAAATGTCATTTCTAAAATTATCGTTTATATTTATTTTTTTAAAATAAAAAAGATTGATATCAAATTGATTGGTATAAAACAGATCAAATTGATAGCTCATCTTTCACAATAATGCTTGTAACTATGTTTCTTTTTTCCTCCTCATTCGCATAGTTCTAAATCAATGACACAGCAGACTATCTTGAGTCTTATTATTCATCATCTTTTAATTAACTATTTGGCTCAAGACATACGAAATAAAAACAAAGTTAAATATGTATTGAAGATTTTATATTTGACAAATATTGTTGTGTTTGTAAATTATCTTATATTTCAAATTATAGTAATTCTACAAATTTACCACGTAGAAAATATAATAATCATTTTAAAACTTAGGGCAGCACTCAGGAAATGTTGATACCTCAAATACTTTTCTCAGGCAAAGTGCTATGAAAAGACAACAACATATTGGTTTCAATATAAGCATTTTTCTGTTTATATGTATTTGACATTGCATTTTAGTAATGTTTGAATGATTTAGAAACTGTTCATATAGTATTAGTATATCGTAGAACTAATAACTTTCAAGTACAGAAATATTGGGAATCGCAGCATTATGTTTGACTGAATTGTATAATTTTATTTCTTGACAAAGAACAGTGGCTGTTTTAATGTATAAATATGCATGTTACATACATACACTGAGATATAAGGTACTACACTTTAAAAAGTACCAAATCAAATTACGGTATAAAGGTTCAATTCAAATTACGGTCCCTTTACTTGTTCCGGTAGATTTACCGGAGCCCGTTTCGGAACAAAAAAAAATCTGATATGCCATAATTTCCACAGTATTAACTACCTTAGAATCAATTAATCGCTCAAATTATGTATATGTTTCTCTAAAAATTGCGGTAAAAAATACTTAACGGTAAAAATGGATTTTACAGTGAAGAAAAGTTATACCGATAATGCACCCAAAGTACCGGTACTTTATACCGTAATTTTAACCATGATATTATGCAGTGTAAAACCTAAAGGCTCCTCAAATTATTAATTGCTTGAAATCAAAGAACAAATGATTTAGTTATCGAAGATCACGAAGACTTGTAAATAACTCATGCTCTTGAAGGAAAAAAAAACATAAAATCTGTAAAGACATGATACGTTTTAAATTAATCGGAACTGAATTTTTACTGCTTGGTTGTGAAAATCATAAGTAATACCGATGTCCTTTTCCGTAAAACGAAATATATTGCTAAATTAAAGGTAAATATATGAATAATATGCAATACTTTGATCAAAAAATTTTTTTTTAAATTATCCATTTAAAGTCATAAGTATTTTTACTTTAACTTAAGCAAATGTAAAGCAATCTCCTTACTTAATACTGTAATAAGCATATATTTTTACTTACCTCTATAAAACAATTTCCTTGAATTGAAACACTTGTTATCCTATAAAAAACATGATATGTATCAGTTATTATATATTTCTCAGTTCATTCAAAACTATTTTTATTACTATTACTGAGATGAAAGACTTTTTTTTACGGTGACTCCTATTTTTCTTTAACAAGTTTAAGGAGCTTTTTAAAATGAGAACTTCCTTAATAACGGTCTGAGATAACAAGAAAAGTACATTATTGCGTTAGAAGAAACTAAAAAAAAAACTCTACTCATAAGACTAATTAATTATTATTTTTTCATTTTAGTTTGAACTGGGAAGGTGCTTAATTAAATAATTAAAATTAATGTTAAATTTTTTTTTAATTTCATAATTATATTATTAAATACTTTCATGAGTTAAGATTGTGAATCATCTATATATGAACTGTGTATATAAATTAAATGAATCCATGATGCTCGTCTTATTTTCATCTTTCAAATAGTTGTTGATTTCCATTTTTCAACAAGAATTTATTAATTTTATCCGGTAAACAAAGCCTGGATTGATATATTATGATAATGGTATAAAATAAATCAAGTATATTTATTAATGGAGCAATAGATGCATCAAGTGCCTGCTTCAAATCTACCATGCATGCACAAAACTATGTTTTCATAATTTACTCTATTTGATTATTTTAATTTATATGATGAATGAATATATGTGGAGTTTTGATGATATTATATTGATTGGTTATCTAAATGCACTAGTAAGTGTCTTTAATCTGGAAGACATTTTACAGTAAACCAAAATTAAACAAAAATCGAGAAATTAAATGAAAGAGAAAAAATTGCAATAATATATATATATATATANTCTAAAGCCCCGATAATTCTTCCGTGTAATATTATATATATATATATATATATATATATATTAGAAATAATTTAAAAAACAAAATAATATTTTCCTCATTTTAAAATTCTTATAGGATAATATTTTTAATTAATTTCTAATTAGTCAGGTAGAAGAATTTTTGTTTGAAAAAACCCAGTTTGAAAAAAAAAAGACTTTTGCCTGTCTGCTAAAAAAGAAAATTATTTCTTTCTATTTTTTTAAATACTTCTTTTGCAAATAAATTATATAGACTTAAACGATAGGAAAAGATAAGAATTAATTGAAAATCTAGCAGAACAAAAGTCTAAATGAGTAAGGTATGAAAAACAGGTGAATGAGACTATATTTCATTTTCTATTTCAGAATAGTTTCTAAGAATTATTCTTATGATTAAGATCAAAAGATATCAGTCTCATTTTATTTTTGATGCAACAATTATGTTTTGAAACAGATCAAAGAAAACTTTTATCAATTACGAAACTAGTCAACTAAACTTTATAGACTTTTGATACATCTTGGAACACTGAGAACAAAACAAAATCCTAACTTGTCTCGTCAGAGTTAAAGTAATGGATTCCCAAAATGAAAGATATTTTTTTCTTGTTTTATGATAAAAAATTAATCAGAATATATAAATTAAAAAAATTTGAGACGTACACAAATGCGTACTTTCTCAAAGCATATATTTGTAGAGACGTAATGTTTCTGTATCCCGCGATGAGGAATGCGTTTTTGAATTCAAATTTATGCTTACAATAAAATAAAATGAAGTAAGTCTAAAATGTAGACCACTTAAACTTATTTTTTATGCATAATTTTGCAATTTTTTCGATATCTATGGAAATAAACTTTGTACTCAATTATTAAACACATTTACTCAATGAAAATGTCATGGCGAATGCAATAACTTTTTCATACTTTGTTCCATTTAAATTCAAACCGACGAAAAAATCTCAAAGTTAGAGACGCAATTATTTCATAATTTGTAACTAATTGGATTTGAATGACAAATTTTGAAACTTCAGCTAAATCAGCAGAAAAACTAAGAAGTAAAAATTGAAAAAAATTTCATTAGTAAATTATTTATTTAGCAGAAAATTATTTTCATAGGGTTTTCACTACTTGCAGTTATGCTATATTTATTTTATGCAGCTGCAAGTCATTATGTTTATGTTATGCAGCTTCTAAGGATCTGTTAAAAATACTACAAACAGTAATAAATATTCCTTTTATAATCAATATTAATCTTCATTCGCTCTTTGCACTAACATTTTAGACTTACTGCTCTCTGAAATACGCATTTATTGATTTCTTTTTTAATTTAAAAAGTCAAATAATGATAAACTTTTCAGCATGAATAAAAACAAAATATTCAAACTACTTTTTTATGAATTTTATATTACAATACAAGTGTTTTTCTGATAATCTAACACATTTTTTGGTAACTACTTAACTGTTTTTTACAATTAAAGAAACAAAATATATTTTTATTTGTAATTCAAGTGTCATAATACTATGTATAGAAGGAACACCGGTGTCCAATCTGCGTCAACGATTAAAACCATGCATTACTTTATAATTGGGTTTATCAAAACTAAACAAAACGTGCTTTTCAAACTTTTAATTCAACTTTTCAGAAACAATACGCATAAGCTTTTTAATTTCCTATTCTCATCGTTCTAAAACTAATAACAACATTATGTTTCATTTCTCATTATTTCCCTTCTTCCAATTAATTGCTTAATTTTTCCTGCAGCTCAAGTATATATACTTCAGTCAGTTACAATTGGAGGAAGGTGTTGGGACGCGATGCGAGAAGCTAATAAAGTGTTTCTTTAAGAACACTTTCTAGCATAACTTACTCCGATGTCATGGTTGAACATATTTGTTTGAACAGAGCGATTGTATAGAGGCTGTAGAGTAACCGACTTAGCAATATTAAAAAAAGAAGGAAAAAACTTGAAAAATTGTTTTTTACGCTTCTTTCTGACTTTTAAATTTTGAAACATACACCAAACGTTCCACTTATTTCAAAACAAGACACGAAGGAAGAAAAAACTATTGTTATAAGATAGGTTGAACCCAGGGGGGAATTCGGAGATAAAAGTTAAATTATTACATTAAAAAATTTCTCTAAAAACAAAAATTACAGTAAAATTTTGCCAAATGGCAGTGATGGTAATCAGTTAAAAGTGGATTAACTATAGCATTTGACAATTAAAAACATGTTTTAAAGGCAACCAAATCCAAATCGACGGGGTAAATGTCGAGAATTAAATGATTATAATAATAAGGAAACAAGAGATAAAAAAAAATCTCAAAACTAAAATCAATGAAAGCTAAAAGTCCAAATAGTAAATATCTAAAAGTAAANCCAATAGCGCCTGTGTAAATGTCGAGAATTGAATGGTTATAATAATAAGGAAACAAGAGATAAAAAATCTCAAAACTAAAATCAATGAAAGCTAAAAGTCCCAAGTGTAAATGTCTAAAAGTAAAAGTCTGACTAGAAGTCTATGAAGTCAAAAATCAAAAGTTGATAAAATTTCAAAATGTAAGGCTAAAAGTTGATTAGTATAAATTAAACATGACTTGTTCTATTGTTGGTTCATTACTGGGGTCAGTTGATCAGGGGCTAAAATGTCCTCGAGGGTTTGCTTAATAATTTGAGTCACAATTTTCCAGCAGGTTAATATAGCAAAGAATTGGTGTTCCTCTTCGTAGTTATTCATGTGGGTTCCACGAAGTGCTTAATGTTGTTGTCGAAGATGTTTAATGCCTTGTCTCACTCCACAGTAGCCCTGCAGTGGACTGATCGTTAAGACACGGTTCCCAGCAGATAACCGAAGTCAATCATCACTGGCTGCGGTCAGTGTGTGGGAGGGTGACCACTTGGATCATTCTGCGTGGGGACCGAGGGTGTGCGGTATTGGTTCGCGTTAAACTGTTCTTCCGTAAAGTGCTCGACTTCGCGTGCAGGTCGTTGGACTACCGAAGCGGGGGTGCCATCTCCTCTGCGGAGGATCAAAAATTGTGATAGCATGTCTTCGGATCATCCTCAGGGATGTTTCCCAGACCGTCGCCAATAGCCCATTGTGCAGCTCTAGAGCGACGTAAATGAACAAAAACAAAAAACAAAACAAACACTCCACAGTAATTGCATGATGCTGATTTCCTGAAATATGTTTGTTGATAGGTCCCGAACAGTCGGTGACCAGTAAGGAGCTGGTTTAAATAAAAATTGGCCTGCATGCTCTTTATGCTTAATGCAGGCGCTTTATTATAAGTAAAACTGAATATCAGATTCCTAAAATCATGTAATACTTTTAAATTAAGCTTATTAAAAGCTAAACAAAACGCACTTTTTAAACGTATTATTCAACTTTTGACTTATGAGACGAGTGAACTTTTTAATTTCTCATTCTCTTAGTCCAAAAATAAAGAACAGCACTATATTTCGCCTCTCATTATTCCCCTTCTTCCAATTAACTGCTTAATCTTTCGTGCAGCTGAGGTATATATATTTCAGACAGAGAGTTACAATTGGAAGAAGGTACTGTGAAGCGATAAAAATTGGAAAGCGATGTGAGAAGCTAATAAAATGTTTCCTTAAGGAACACTTTCTAACATAACTTACTCCGATGTCATGGTTGAACACATTTGTTCGGACGGAGCGATTGTAGAGAGGCTGTGGAGGACGATAATTGTTAGCTAGAATGGTTTTAGGATTTGCCTTATCTCCTTGCATCAGTTTTCTCATCAAAAATATCTAAAAGGAAAAGAAAAATAATTTGAAATGCATAATTAATTACCTATAAAATTTAAAAGCATGCTAGAGGAAAGTTTCGATGCATTTTGGTTCTCAAGTTAGGAAAGTTTAAATTGATATTGATTTTGAATTGTCATTTTCAGTGAATCATTTTAAAGTTGTAGCGAGCTTGAAATAAATTCTTAAAAGAGACGAGTCCACTTAAAGAAATTTTGATATAATGTGTTTTTAACCATTTACTAAAGTGTGATTTTAATCTAAACTGAAAAAAAGTTGGGCCGCAAAAGAAAAATAATGGAAAAAGTTACCGAGTTGAAATTATGGTAAATGAGTTGAAATTATGGCTCGATAGTTCCTTTCGAAGCACTTTGGTAATCATTTTTGTTAAATTAAAAATAAAATATGGTTTTATAATGTTTGAAAAGTATTGTGTATACGCAGTTATAATTGATAATTTTATCATGATACATATATCATGGTATAAAAACCATTTATGTGGATAAACTTAAGTTTCAGTTTTATATTTCTTTATTAAATAATGGACATTAAGGACTATTATTTGGAAAACGAGAATTTTTGGTAAGCCCTTTGCTCTATGAACAGAAAACTTTCCAAATCAATAGTTTAAATACAAGATATTTTGGTTTTATTGAAAAAAATAATGTTGCTTTATTCAGAAATATTGCACATAAGATTATTTAGCTATAAGATTATATACTGCAATTTCAATCCGTGTATGAAAAAATGGCCATAAGTATGCTAATTAATTTGAGAATACCGTAAAAACAGTTCCTCATAATTGCGGTAAAGTATACCGACACTCAGAGTGCCGGCAATTTTTAACATAAAATTTATTTTCACTGAAGAATTTTGTACCTTAATTTTTACAGAAATGTTTACTGGATTACATAAATTCAGCAAATATTACTGTAGCAATTACTGTATTTCAGATTTTTTTGTATCGTGAAATTTTATGGTAAAAAGCGTAGGCACCCTGAGTACTGGTTTTCTTTACCATAATTTTTCACAAATTGCACTCAGAATTAGGCAATATTTTAAGTTAAGAAATTAGACACTAACACTTAGACTTTGATTGATAAAGCTTACTGTTTTTTCGAAAGATTCATATTCTTGACCTTGCAAATGGAAGAGAGGGTTAGTCATTTAAAAATGTTGCTATTTAAAAGCACTTAAAGTAAAAGTTTCTACATCTTTTAATTTAAAACTTTATAGATCAGTCTTAAAATTAAAATAAAAAAAATTTCAAATTATCTTAAATATATTTCACTGTAAACTATCTTCAAATAAATTATTTTTATAATTAAGCATTATTTCACGGATAGGAATAATTATAAATGAATATATAATATTTTTTTGGCCTAAATGGTTTCATATGCAGGGTGAAATAATTAAAAATTAAACTAAGTATAATTTTCATGAAATTACGTTTTTGTGTCTTTTTACTTAAATTAAAATATCAGCTGTCCTTATTAATTAGCATTTTAAAAGTTATTCCTTTAAATCTTTAAGTATATGATTATTTTAATATTATGTAATACTATTTTACTTGGCAATCAAATTATATGGTCAAAAGTTATTAAAATTTTCCGTTGTCTATTACATACATCATTCATGTAGTTTAAAAAGAATGCTTAAAAACGTAGTTATTAAAATATATATTTTCCTGCACTTTTATAACGTTCTGTTTTCTAAATGATGGTTTAATTTGATGAAAATGTCTTTGTACATTCCTTTGTGCTTCATTTCATTCTTAAATTAAAAAATAAATCCCTGCCACTAAGGCGCACATTATTTCTTTACTTATTTCTAATATCGGAGTGCTTGACTCAATATAATGATAAGTCGCTCTTACATTCCTTTCGGAAGATTGTTAATGATGAAAATCACCAGGATTTCAAAGGAAGCAATCAGATTGTTCTCTGTATTATTGTTATCAAATGGGAATTCCGGAGAATTATACAGTAATAATACTCAGAAACGTTTTATAGGAAATATTACACTGAGCACAAAAGTATCTTCAAAAGCATGAGAATGTGGTTTTGGGGGCACTTTCAATATGGTTTAAAGTATTTCTGTTTCTATGGAAACACCAAAAAAACGTGGTGATTTTACCGAAGCTCCTTGGTATTAATTTTGGTAAAATTAACAGTAAAATATTGTTTCCTAATGTATATAAAAAGTAGATAAATATGGAGAAATTCGGTAATTTTAACTTACCTTAGAGCATAGAAAAAAATAATTTCTTCAGTAAAATTAGCCTTTGAGGAAATTGAAAACCAGAATGAATGGTTTATATACCGTATATTTTGGTTTTATTACAAGAATTATGATTCTGATATTCTAATTCTTAAAATACGATATAGTATGATGATTTTATAAGAATTTTTTTTCTCGAAGCATCTTGGGAAAAAATATAATTAATTATCCCATTGTATGTTAAAAATTTATTAATCTTAAATAATATTTAAGAAATAATTGTTTAAAAATAGAAAACAAATGCAAATAGAATTTTTTTACATTCATTGAATGAATCCAGTTTAAAAATTAACAAGACGATTTTAAAAACTATTTTTCGCTAATGCTTGCTCCAAAATCAGACATAAGTTAACCTTTAATGAGTATTTTTTTGATAGAAAATATTATCTGGTTGAGTAAAGCAAAAATAAATAACAAAATAAATAAATAAATAAAATTTATTAAAAAAAAACAAGAATTAAATTGCATGTGATTTTTAGTTTTTCCTCCCTTTTTAAAATTTTTTTTAAATAACGTTTAGTTGAAACGTTTACCATTTTAAACGTATTTTATACGATAAAATTTTACGTCAATGCTTGTGTCAATTTGAGATATATTGAATTTATTAAAGTTGCAATTATGAAAAATAGTATTTGATTCTGTAAACTATAAAAACAAATGCAAAAATGCAATGTTTTTTAGCATTTATAAGGATTACAAGGCAAGTATTATAAAAACTAAATGTATTTTTTTAATTAAAATTCTTCGAGTTCAATTGAAATATAACAGAAAAAAATGATAATATTCCGTATAGACATTTTCCAGGAGCGTATTGCTTAGAAGTCTAAAACTTTTGCTCTTTCATTGCAGTTAATGTACTATCGAATATTCAATAAACTTTTTTGAAAAAACAACAGTAAATTTGCCATGGTTCAAAAATATAGTTCGAAAATTGCATAATTTCATGTAAATAAATATATAGGATAGCTTATAATATAGAACTTATACAATTTTGATATTTGAATAAAAATATTCATTTTTGAAATTGTAACTGTTTATATTTGGAGATGAAAATATAATTAAAGAAAAATAAAACTTCATAATGTAAAACCTCGATACTGTTATATATGTGTTGCGAAAAATAAACTAAAATTTAAGTCAGTATTTAAGTTATAGTTAAGTTAAAATGCAATTTAACATATTCTAATATCTATCGTATTATCTTACTTACCAAATTAACAATTCTCACTGTACTATTTATTTAGCTATAACAAAATCATGTGTTTTGTCTCTAGTACTTTTTTCCTGGTTAAAAAACTCTCGCTGATAACTGTCCATTGCTAAATTTTGTTTTGTCTCCATACTTTTCGTGTTTTTATATATATATATATACATATATAAAAATTCAATCGTTAGTCTCCCTTTAACTAATAATTAATGCAAGGAAATAATACAATAATACACTAATTTAAAACTAAAAATGAAAGTTCATCATTGCTTTTGAATATATGATTTTAAGTGATAAATATAACGATTTGCCAACAGGAAAGAGCAACATCTCTATTCTTTGCTTCGAAAAAAAATGATAAGAACAAGAAGGTCCCTAAAGGGAAAGGATAACATTATTATTTTGCCGCAAGAGAAATTCTCCTTACTAGTCAAATTCACTTTTTCTCTGAATCTGACAAGAAAAAAAGGGAAAAATCCATAGATAAGGCAAAGAGGAGTCCCTATCTTTCTTCAGTTCAAATGCTGTTTCTGCCTTAGCCTTTTCTTTCCTCTATATGAATATTTTTACAAATAAAATGAAAAATGAATTATCTACCTGTGCTTTCTTTGGAAATTTATTTATTGTTTTCTAGACTTGCTTTAAAATTAATGTTCTTTAATGGCTGTATTTTAAGTATTATTTACAAATGTATCTTATTAAATGAATACATAAAAAGTAATTGTACATAAATTTAAAATATGTAAGATTCGTTTTTGAAGTAATATTTATGAAAAATTTAGCCATTTTACTTATAAATTTTATGAATCATATTTTTTTTATATATTTTTAATTTTTCTGTATTATTCTAGATTAAAAAAGTGAAAAATATTATATTTAGCATTTTAATCATTTATGGTTATGAAATATAGCAACAAACACTGTTGTCGTTTTTTGCTAACAGGAAAAATCGTTCCTACACAGCTCACTTTCAAACAATATTTTCTTCAAATTTGTCCTTAATTGCTTAGATTATCTAAGAAAAACAGTTATTTATCATTAATATTCCATTAATTTACAAAATTAATTATTGATAAATTTTTTCATACGAATGAAAAAAAAATCGAACTACTCTTTTGGATTTTATATTTTGGAATCAAGATAATTCCGAGAATCTAACGGATTTTTATGTAACAATAAGACTGTCTTTTTTAAATAATAAATACTAAAATATTTTTTTTACCCACAATTAGAGCATCAGAAAAATAATTGCATTAAGGGGATACCGGTGTCCCATCTTAGTAAAAGCTTTAACCATGCCACCAATATTTTAATGAATTATGCAAATTTTCTGCAAACTCATCATTGCAAATGAAACTTTTTTGAGGTTCTAGGAACAGACTCCATTTCAGAAATATGTTTGAAGATTTTTGAAAAATAGAAAGTCTTAGATAATTATATGGTTTTTACAAAAAATTTTACTTATTGCATCCATTTTAAGAAAACAAATTTATTACAATATTTTGACAGCTTATCA